CGGCTGGGGACACGTTGAACTGTTTCCCTTATCAGCATGTCCCCTGCCCTTGCCCGCAGCTCTCTGCTCTGTGCCTGTGCCGTACAGGGGCGGGTGCCGAGGGCTGGCACTGCCCAAGTGCCCAGTGCGGGGGCTTGGGACAGCTCAGGGGCTCCGCTCCATCCACCTGCCCGGGGCAGGACCGTCCCCCCCAGCCTGGCCAGCACAGCCCCGGGCCTGGGTACATTTTTCAGCCTGTCACTGAAACACTGCAGAGAGAAGTTCTGGGGTAGGGAGGAAGGGGAGGGTTTTCCTGCCCAGCTCTCAGTGGGAATTTGCTCAGGTAGGAATTATCAGCTGGAATAGGGAGCAGAAATATATATCAGTAGGATGTGCCCTCTTGATCCTGCACAACATCCTCCCCTCCTGGAGACAGACGCTTTTTATTACAGCTTTTTCTACATAAATATAAAAAAGCAGCATTGTAATGAAGCAAACATCTGTTCCACCCTGGTGCTGGACCCAAATCCAGCAGACAAAGGCATCCCCATGATGTTCTGAGGGAGGGGCTGTGTTGCTCCTCAGACCTCTTGGGCTTTTCAGTTAATTTTCTTGCGCTTCCGCTGTCCTGCCGGTGCCTTCTGCATGGGCAAGGGCAGGGACAGAGTGCCCAGCTTGTGGTTCTGGTCGTTCTCCAGCCCCAGCCCCCCTTTGGCCTTGGATATCTTCAGCCGCAGAGCCTTGGCGATGTCCAGGATCCTGGAAAACAATGAAGAAACACCATCAGTGGGGCTGCCGAGCCTCCTGTGCCATGACACCGCAGGGATCCGTGGCCTCCTGCCCTAATCCAAGGAGCAGCCAGCAGCTGACACCTGCTGGGAAATGCAGGTCCTGCACCTACAGACACCACCTGTGGAAAACTAAATCCTGACCCAGATACCAGGGTAGTTTCAGGGCTCTCCCAGGGTCTCCCTGTAGGAGATCCCAGCAGGTGTGAACACACAGGATGGCTCACCTGCTCTCCTGAAGCTTCATGTCATTCTGCAGGACGGTGAGATCTGTCTGGAAGTTGTTGATGTGCAGAGCCAAGAGAATGACATAGGCAGTGATTTTAGCCTTCATGGATGCAGAGACTAAATTCTGGACACTGTGCGGCAAAAGAGAGAACTTGTGAGATGTGGAGTGTATGGGAGTTCCTGATGGCGTGTCTGTGGCCACTCAAGCTGAGCTCTGCCCTATCTGCGCCTCAGGAGCCTCACAGTGTCCCTTACCTGCCGTTGTTGTAGGTCAGTGAGGTGAAATTCTTCATGAGTTTCCTGCTGATGATGTGTGGGCACTCGGGACCCATTGGATCTAGACCAGAGACGGGCTTGGCAAAAGGATGAGGAACACACACCCACCCATCACAGCAGCACATGTATCACCCTGACACTTATAATGGAATATCACAGAATATCCCATGTGGGAAGGGACCCACAAGGATACTTGAATCCAACCCCAAGAATCCCACCATTTATCACCTCTTCCCAGGAACACAGAGACCCTAAAAGAAGCCTGGGCCCTTGGCTTCTAGGTTTCATAATTCTTCAGGTCTGAGAGGCTCCTAACAGCTTCTATTTTCTTCGTAAAAGGGATCTCCCACTTCTACACTAGACAATCTAAAATACACACACACTTAAGTGTGTATTTCTTTTGCCACAAAATACTAACAAAGCTGAGACCACATTTACAAGTCCCTATTACAACCAAGACTAGTCATTCCCACATCCTCCTTAGCAGTCCTACAGGTGACTCCTGTGTCCCCAGGAACACAGGAGGACACTACAGCCAGGCTTGCCACTTCCTCCTCCATCAGCCCTGCCACAGACTGACAAGGACATTCAAATACACAACTTCTATGGAAGATTGGCAAGCCTGGAAAATCTCAACCAAAGTGTTTGGTGTCGTGTTGTTTCAAAAGCAGGACCCTGAGGACAAAAGAGATCCCCACACTCAGCTGACAAGCAAGGGATGCCAAAGACATTCCCAAAAGCACATCTTCATGAGCTGAAAACTCTCTTACGCTTCTTCTTGATCACTTTCAGGTGGCTGAACTTAATGAGGGTGTCCAGGAACCAGAGGCATCGGGCTTTGTGGTCTCTGCTCTTCTCATCAGCAGGCAGGAACTTCAGCTCCTCCAAAACAAAGGAGCAGTGGCTGCAGGAGAGGGAGGGGGAGTTCAGCTCCACAAAGAGCACCTCGCTGCTGTGCACATAACTATCCCCCATGTTCCCCAAGGAAGGTGTTGCTCAGCCATGCCTGGATCACACGTTCCCCTCTGCCCCAGGGCAGCTCTCGTGCTCCTAGCCAGGACATGGCCCTCAGCAGCAGCATTACCTCCTCTCCTCTGCCTTCTTGGCGATGTCCTCCGCGGTGGCGCTGGCCAGGGCAGCTGCTGGCACTCGCAGCGCCTCGTACTCAGTGGGGGACAGGACTGGCAGGGCTTTAAGGAAAAGAACAGGCCTGGGCTCTCCCTTCCAGGGACAGCAGCCTCTAACAGACTGTGGCACAACCCAAGTCACTTCTGCATGGCCAGCCTCACCACTATTCCCAGTGGAACTGCTGCCAACAGGGAGAGAATCCTGCTCAACACAGAATTACCCTGCTCCCAGCTTTTGGGTTGTGAGAGGTAAAGGCTGGGCTCACTCCCAGATGGGCACATCGAGGTTTACAGACATGGGAAACCCCTGTGACCAGGAAAAGATACTGTCCTCGAACTTGTACACGTGCTCCGGCCTGTCGGCATCCTCGTGGCATGGCGGGAGGAAGGCAGAGATGGTCTGCACGTCATCCTGGGCCACATCCTGCATCAGAGCTTGGGAGGGAAGCAGGAGGGGAGTGTTTGGACTGTGCAAAGCAAAATGCAGAGAACAGGAACATAACCAAAATCCTCCCTTTAGACGCAAGTCTACTCAATGGTGTCTCTTGGGTCAACACCAGTTTAGTCACAGCTGGAGCTTTAAACCTTTAAAACTTCTACCAAGAACCTTCTGCTCCTTAAAATTTAGAAAAACCATTCCAGACTAGAGAAACATTTAGAAAAGAAGGGCACCAAGATGTCTGGCTGCTGCTTGATGGGCAGAGCACAGTTTTGGCACCCTGGGTTCCAGCAAACACCTACTTGGCACAAAGCAGCTCTGGGACCACTGTC